AACACTGACTGTAAATCCTCTGGTGGTGTTTCTGTAGCTGTCGACATTGCTGGCCATAAATCGAGAGAATACTGCATTCCTGAAGGTCTCCAATATCAGCATGCCTTTCTCTTTTCTCAGAGGTTGGAGACAATGGTCCTACAGTGCCCTGCTGGATGTGAAATGGATCTCTCTGAATTGCTGCTCGGCTCCTTGTACAAAGACCGCATTGTATTGTTTAAGCTAATTAATACAGTCCTGAAAGACAGCTGTGGCAGAGGCCTTGATCCACGACCCAGTGAAATGAGATCTGTGGCCTGGTCACCCACTGCCAGACACCTAGAACTGGCACCACACCTTCCATTACACTATATTTTGTTAGATACTAATCATGTATTTAGAAGAGTTATTATTGCAGGTTATAAGGTGCTTGAATTATGCGTAAGATATTTTACAATTTACTGGTGTTTCTATTTGTATTGTTTAGTACACAGTGTACTTCATATTGTGGATTTAAAAAAAAGTTTTAGAGGTTGCGATGACATTAATGTGGTTTCATCAGGAAAGTCTGCTTTTATGTAAACATTTAGCATTGGAAGGATCTCAATTTGTATATTTAAATAAAAGGATTTTCATATACAAATACACTCCAGAGACAGCTGCTAATTTAGCTAAAATGTACTGGTGTTTTTTTACAAGAGGAATTTAATGTTCAACCTGTACAAATTCATCCAAAATGTAGCCTCAATTTTTCCATTGTTTCAAAAATGCTGCCTTTTCTTTTGAAAACAGTTTCACGTGATAATCTTTCTACAAACAATGCTAATGTCCGTATGAAGTCATAAAGGTACTTTGCTCTACATTACATGAAAAGAAATGGACATCTGCTGTTATTATTATCTTTTAAGTAAATGTAATCTATGCTTATAGAAAATGTGTAATAAGAAAATCAATGTTCTTAGGGTGGATTATTCTGTTATAACTATGGAATTTTTGAAAGGATTTAGAAAATATTAATTTGAGAAAGCTTATTGTAAGCTATAGTCTTGAGTAAAATGTATGAGCTATAGAATTACAAGATTAAATACTGTATGCAGTGTATTTATTTTAAAAGATATATACTTGCCCTTCCTTTGTGCTTCCTGTGTTTATTAATATTTCCTGTGTTAAACATGTTTTCTTTGCTCTCAGTGGGTAGTCTTGTTGTCATTTCAGCTGACTATACCATACCCTGCCTTGTCTTGAGAAACAGGAGGCTGACTAGAAAAACAGTGTAAGAGTTGCTTTCCGGGAACTACATTTGAAGAAACAAAGACTGGCATGTCTCTGTAAGACGTGCATCCTATTGCCTGTAATCACCTCAGTTTGCATGAAATGGATGAGGGCTCTTTATTACACAACTGTATACTTGAATCTAGCTTTCAGCTTAAGCTATCCTTGCAGGAGACAGAAGAGCTGGGCTTCGACTGGATGAATACAGTATATACCCTAAAGAATCTAATAAATTATTATGCATGTCATAAACAACTCTCAAATGTCTTTTGATAAAAAAAAATCATAATTAAATGAACTTGATTATAACACTTTTAAGCAAGAAAACCCTTCTATTACGAATCCATAATAAGACATCTATAAACCCAAAATAAAGCCAACTGCCCAACTTCTTTTAGGTATTAATATTAATAATTCCTTACAGTTATATAGCACTTTTCTGGACACTCCACTCAAAGCATTTTATAGGTAATGGGGACTTCCCTCCACCACCACCAATGTGCAGCCCTACCTTGATGATGTGACAGCAGCCATAGGGCACCAGTACACTCACCAGACTTCAGCTATCAGTGGGGAAGAGATCAGGGTGATGAAGCCAGTGCATAGATGGGGATTATTAGGAGGCCATGATTGGTAAAAGCCAATGGGAAATTTGGCCAGGATGCTGGGGTTACATACTGACTCTTTTTGAGAAACGCCCTGGGATTTTTAATGATCACAGAGAGTCAGGACCTCAGTTTAGCGTCTCATCCAAAGGACGGCACCTTTTTACAGTATGGTGTCCCGGTCACTATACTGGGGCATAAGGACCCACACTGACTGCAGGGTGAGCGCCCCCTGCTGGTCCTACTAACACCTCACTTGCTCGCACCTGAAGAAGGTTCCACGGCCAAAACGTGTTTTCTTTCTTCTTTTTTTTCAGCATGGAATAAACCTAATACTTGTTCCTTTGCAGCCTACGCATGCTGATGCAGCTACCCACCTGAACTACAACTAACACCTCTTCCAGCAGCAACCTTAGTTTTTCCACGAGGTCCTCCATCCAGGTACTGACTGGGCTCACACCTGGTGAGTTTCAGTGGGATGGCAGTTTTGAGTTATAGGGTGATATGACTGCTGGCTTAAGGCACAGTATGTGTTATTCTGTGTACAATGTGCATTACTGGAACAGCATCATGGCTGAGAAAAAAACATTTTATTTTAAACATACAACTTCAAGAAGACAATTGAACATGGTACAGGTGAGGCCAGCACTTCCTCTGGCTAAACATTGCTTAAACACAGGAACAAGTTCGAATTACTTTACTTTATAATTTACTAAACATTATGATACAATGTACTCATTGCTTTATTTGCATTATTGAGGCTGCATCTACCAATGCATCTATCATCTTATGACAAGCATGTGATAAAAAATTGATACTGTATGTGAACCCATCTGTGAATGAAAAAGGCTTCCTTTTAAACTAATAATGAAAAGGTAAAAAGTGAGGTAAAAGCATTACATCCAGCCGGGGTTAGTATTGCACAAAAACGTTGTGACCATTGGTTATACTAGAGCACGCATCTTTGGTAACAAACTGAAAGTGAAAACATTTGTCACCTAACATAGATGAATTCTACACTCACAATAACAATTATATTAATAACTAATTGAATAGATCCATTGTCATTGTCAATAACTGTATTTCAGATTGACTACTATCCACTACGAACTGTGTCACAACAGGGAATAGGTCAGCCACAATGTAAAAACTACATTCTGAAAGCAATGTACGTAGGTTGCATTGTATCAAATTGTTAATACATGAAAGTACTGTTTGATCTTGTCTTCTTAAAATGGAATCATTTCCATCCCAAACATTACAGTAGTAATGTAACAGATGGTTTTTTGCCATCTCTCATGGTTGTATTTAATCTGAGTCTGCTTTTCCCAAAATGAAGAATACAACTCTTGTCTAACCTCTTCTAACTTTCTTCAAAACAAATTACACACATACATATAATCTATATATATATAATTACATCAAAAGAAACATCTTTCTATTTATGCACACATATCTTTAGAGAACAAAAGCATTCAGATACGAGCTATTAATTAATTATTTTTGGCACCATGTTGATTAACCAATCAGTCATCACTGACCATGACATGCTTAAGGCACTAAATCACTCCATTAGTTTGGGAGTGGATTGAGCACAGGTGATGCGGTAATATAATCTGTTGAATGTCAAGCCTGCTAAATGTCAAGAAAGATAAACACAGAAAAGAACCAAATAAGCTTTGTTTAGTTTCTTTATTGCTGTTCCTGTTTCACCAGATAAATCAACATAGAACAAATTCTCATTGGTAATGATTATGTGGAGACCCATCCTTACAGCTCTGATTTTTGCTGGAGTGATTTGGGCAAAGCACTTTTGCTCAGCGATACAGTAGCATCCTATCTGGTGTATGAACCCACAACCTTATGGTCTGATCCCATTAGTATTTTGGAGAAGCAACTCCAACAGACTTGCCAGCAGTGAATCATCATTCTTATATGGACCAAACTCATGAATGTCTGTGAGCTTGGTGTAGATACAGTGTGTAGAATGTTCTTATACGTGATGTGGCAACAGTGTGTAGCGCAGAACACCTATTTAAGTGATTGATGTCAACCTGACTGCAGGGTGCTACATTGTTCATACCCTTCCTGTGGACACATTGTGGGGTGACAACATTCCGGCGGGTCAACATGCCCTCATGGTTCTTATATAACAACGTCTTTCTTGCAAGATGGCAATGTTATGGATGCCCTACTCCACAGACTTCAGCTCTGTTCTACATTTGTGGGATGACCTTGGGTGACGTGTGACATCTAGAACTCGGATACCAGAATAAAGCCAAATGCTTGATCCTGTGTGGGTTGATTCTCAGAGTGTGCTAGTCACACAGACCACCTACCAGCGGGATCTGTGGGATGTCACACTTGACAGGCAGCTTAATGACTTAATGACTCCCAATGTAGATAAACTTCAAGAATTTGGCCAGATGGGAAGCGTAGTTTGTACGGGCGATGCAGTGTTTCTGAGCTATACTGGCCAGTTTTCTGTACCAGCTCTCCACGGTTGAGTAAACCCCTGTGTCCTGGCAGGCAGAGTATTCTAGCCACTACTGCCTGCTATGGGGATTGGGTTACAGAAACATGTGCAGGATTATAAGCAAGAATCACAATAACATGTAACCACAACTAATACATTTTTATTGCATACACAATGCATTTTTAAATAAATAAGTACAACATGTCTAAGCAGTAGAGTTCCTTAGTATTTTGCCTTGCATATAGCATGACATCTAGTCTCTACGTTTCATCACACTTTGTTAACATATCACATTTTATGGAGTATTGTGGCAAATACTGTATACTGTACCACATTTCATCCACGGAGAGGATTGCTGTCAAACTTACTAAATAGCATATAACTACCAATCACTTCAATGATCTCCATTTGATGGGCTAAAAATTCTACATGCTTCAAAGGTGATAGTTTCTTCCCAGATGTTGCAACATTCACTACACATTGACCACACTGCACTGGAAATATAGTGTGTTGGTTCACTACTTTTACAGGTTCTATGCTAGTATGGCACATTGTATGTTGTACAATTTTAACAGAACATCTCTCTGATTTTGAGTCTACACTCTCAGTTATAAAGCCTAGCTATCCATTTGCTATTTATTGGTTCCTCACAGTTTCCAATTTTCAATTTTATGATGATGATGTTATGATGTCAGATTATATCGTAAGCAGGCTCTTCAAACATGGTGTTTTGTCTCTTGTATTTTTATATATTTATATTTGTGATCTGCCAATTGTTTGCCAAATTTTGAATTCTGTCTATGGTTTTCCTATGCAGCTTCTGCCTTGTTTACTTATTCACTTTATCCACTTATTTTGGTATAATCTGTAATCTTTGACTTTTTTGCTAAGTATGCAAAATGTAGATGTACTGTAGATAGTTCACGTTTGGAAAAGCAGAGGTCCCAATATAAATCACAGTGTTACTCCATAAATTAAATCACACCAATCTGAGCATTTACCTTGAACTATTGAAGTATTACCTTGAATAACATCTGTGTGCTATTTAAGAATTGTGCTAATATAAGAAACTTAATCTAAAACTTTCTAAAACGTAAATATGCCATATTTTGCCTGTATGAATGAATTGAATCCAACCCCATCCAACAGGTTTCTGAATTCTTTAGGATATGATATGATCACCTAGTTTCAAAATGCCATGATTTAGGACACAGCCATAAAACATTCGCACTTTATTAAAACATTGCCACGTTATTAGATTGTGACAACGGAATAGTACGCCAGTAGCTCATATTAACATTAAGAAACTCATAAATGTAATTAATTTTGTATCTGTTTGCTACTCATACTAAGAAAACAATAATGAAATCACTTGTGAGTTTTTTATTAGCGAGGAAATTATTATGTATTTGTCATTCAAATCTGAAGAGACCCATGTTTTTCTCTTGCCTAGAGCCTTTCCCTGTACGCTGTAATGTTAAAACATCACTTGGCAAAGGAATTTTATTAAGTAACCATTTACTCATTTGCATTAATTTCAATGTGTATCCATTTCTGTCAGACTCATATGGTGTTTTTATTATGGATGTCCTAGCACAGATGATAGCACAAGTATAGGTTTATGCTTCTCTAGAAGCGTAACTGCACTAACATCACTTGGGTGAACTCAGATGTACAGTATAAAGGAAACGGTAGCAAAAAATATTTTTACCATTCAGCTTTGACATGATTAAATCAGCCATTTGGGTATACCATGAAGATAATGAGTAAACATTTGCCGATTTAAGATTTAAGATTTTCATCTAATGTAAAACATACATTTTAAAAGTTATAATCC